TCGATAAAAAATTTTTTTCTATTGAAAATGTTATCGATAATAACATTTTCTATTGAAAATCTTATCGATAATGATATTATCTATTGAAATCGTTATCGATAATAAAATTTTCTATTGAAAACGTTATCGATAATAACATTTGCTATAGAAGAAGCTACTGATAATAAAATTTTCTATAGATGAATCTATCGATAATAAAACTTTATATTAAATATGTTATCGATAATAAAATTTTCTATACAAATGTTATCCATAGTAATATTTTCTTTAGAAAATTTGATCGATAAGAATTTGTTTCTTTAGTAACGGTTATCGATAATAACATTTTCTATACCAAAAACATTCGATAACAATATTTTTTGTAAAAAATCTATCGATAATAAAATTTTTTATAGACAAAGTCATCGATAATCAAATTTTATATAGCAAAAGTTATCGATAATAAAATTTTATATTTAAAAAATTATCAATAATAAAAAGTTCTATACAAAATGTTATGAATAATAATATTTTCTTTAGAAAAAAAATATCGATAAGAATTTTTTCTTTAGTAAAGGTTATCGTTAACAATATTTTCTATAGCAAAACCTTTCGATAACAATATTTTTGATGAAAATGTAACTGATAGCAAATTTTTTCATAGAAAAATGTTATCGATAACTAGTTTTTCTATTGCAATATATACCGATAATACGCTTTTATATTAAAAAATTAAACAATAATGAAATTATATAAGACAATTTACCGATAACAAGTTTTCCAACCAAATATGTTGTCGATAATATTGCAAAATGTTTCGATAACAAGAGTTTCTGTATAAAAATTTGCCGATATTAACATTCTGCCTTAAAAATGATACCGATAAAGTTTTTTATAAAAAACGTTATAAATTTGTTTTTCGATAGAAAAATTTATCGATAATAATTTTTTTTTCAATTATCGATAAAAAAAGTTTTCTATATAAAAAAATTTCCGCAATTATTTCCCCTTTTAATTTTCAAATATTTGCCCATTATTTGATATGTCTACCCCTCCCTCTCCTCCCCCTATTCTATAAACATTATCCGCCCATATGTTCGCAATCACAAATCCACAATCCCTTGCCACAAAACTGTGTGGTTGTATGTGTGTTTTTTTGTTGATTTTAATTTCAAAACTTTTGCACTGTTCGGAAGAAGGCAAATGAAACGACATCTGAATGCAAAAAAGAGATCAGATCACTTTCCGTCCATAGTAGTAGTAGCTCTTTTGTGGTGGCAAATATTGACTGGAGATCAGAAGGTCTCATTGGATAGATGGATGGAGGAGGAGGCAGGAAAGACAGAATATTGATGATAAGTGTTTATATGTATGTACGTGCGTGTATCTGTGTATGGATTATTGGTTAACCCAATGAAATGCAGCTGTTGTCTGAAACATCTGCCGTTTTTTCTCGGTTTTATAAGATTGATAGCTGAAAGTTTTGTAGTTGTGGGGATAGGTGGCAGGAGTATAATGAGGAAGAGGATAGAAGAGGAAAATAAAGGCTTAGAAATAAGCAACCAGTTGAAGATTATTTCTAATTCTAGAATAGTTTTTTAATTACAGAAAATAATATTTCTAAAATCCAACTTTTTAATTTTTTCATTAGACTGATGAGAATATTTGTGTTGAGCTTTGGAATTCAAAAATTCCATTCAATTATTTTGCAATCCTTATTTTTTTCTTTGGGGTTCTTTTTAACGTTTCTGATTTTGGAGCCAAGCAGCAATTTGAGTATACCAAAATTTGTGAAGCAGGTGTTTTTATGTTTTGGTTTTTTTGTGCCGGGATTTCTGTGAATGGAGCCGGTATTTGTTCGCTGTTGTTGTTGTGACCAAAAAGGGTCAAACAGGTTATGTGAATTTTTTGTTTATTTTTTTTTTTGTTCGCTCGTTTTGTTGTTTATAAAAATAATAACAAATCCACAGACATATAAATTCGTATAATTTAAGTGCATGAGTTTCAAAAATAAAATCACGTTTTTTTGGCGGATGAATATGAGGTGGGAATGAAAATGTGGAGGAAATTTTAATTTTAAAATAGAGGATCAGATTAAAAATCTACACTAAACTGTGAGGATTTTATTTCATAGCAGTATGTCGATTACAAATTGGGCTTGTGGAACGCAAGGAAAATTTGTATTTTCCTAATAGCACCCTTTTATATATTTCCTCACTCGTTTTCCCTTTTATATGCTTTTTACTTCCCTTGTGATACTGGTCTGCTACCCATGCAGTTTAATCTGAAAATATTATTCCACGGCATATGTGTCATAAATTTGCACCCTCTTCCTGGGCGCAATGCAAGAAAAAAAAAACGGTATGAACTCAAAACAATTACGTGATTTCTTCTTTTTGTCTGGAATGTTTTCCCCCTTTTCCTCTAAAACTCGCACTCATTCATACCCAAAGGTTTTCTTTGAAGAAAAATGATACATAAAATAAGAAGAGAAAATGCCGTGACTGCAAAAGGGAACCTATGAGACAACACCATCCTGAATGATAAGAAAATACTCATCGATAATAATATTTTCTTTAGAAAAGGTTTCCGATTATAATATTTTCTTTACAAACGGTTATCGATATTAATACTTTTTATAGAAACTGTTATCGATAGTAATATTTTATATTGAAAATGTTATCGATTATAATATTTTAGACAGAAAAATTTACCTACTAATAATATTTCCTTTAGAAAGGGTTATCGATAATAACATTTTCTGTAAAAAAATTATCGATAAACATATTTTACATAGAAATACTCATCTATAATAATATTTTCTTCAGAAAAGGTAATCGATAATAATATTTTCGACAGATAACACGTTACTCTGAAAAATAAGTTATCGATAATAATATTTTCTATAGAAAAAACTTTTCGACAATAATATCTTCTATAGAAAAAGTTATGTATAAAAATATTTTCAATAGAAAAGTAGCCGATAATAAGATAAATATTTTTAATTAAAAGAATGTATTTCTTATAGAAAAAGTTATCGATAATGAGTTTTTCCATAGATATAGCTATCGATATATAGAAAAAGTTACAAATTGACAAGATTATTAATGGCAAAAAATATCGAAAGTTATCTACAATTATAGTTTACATAGAAAAAGTAATCGATAAAAATATTTTTAATGAAAATAGCAGCCGATAACAAGATTTTCTTTTGAAAAAATTGTCGATAGCATTTTTTAATCAATTAAAAAAATACTTATATATTTCCCTATAGAAATGGTTATCGATAACGAGTTCTTCCATAGATACATCAACTTTTTATATATAGAAAAAGTAATCGATGGCAATGTTATTATTGAAAAAATTATCGATTACAAATATTTGTAATAAATTATATAATAAAAATGTTATCGATAATAAATTCTTTCATAAATAAAATGTTGATATAGAAAAAAATTGTCATTCATAAATTATTGTTAAGACAAAATTATCGATAATAATTAATTACTTTCCCATTAGAAAAAATCGATGTCAATATTTTTATAAAAAATATAATTTTTTTAAGGCAACATCAATCGCGTATTTAATCTTGAAAGGGAAAAAAATATTTTTTTCAATTCTATGAAAAAAATATTTCAACAAAAATAAAAAAACCTTGACGGATTACCCAAATTTCTATAAATGTTATCGATAACATTATTATATAGAAATAAATTTTGAAATAATCATCTTATCGATTGTAAATTCTTTCATAATCAAAATATTGACATTTGTAAAATTTCGTTGATAAAGATTTTTTCTTTATAACCATCTATCGATAATATAATTCAGTTAAATCGAAAATTATTTCGATTTTATTATATTCTAAAGAACATAATTGTCGAAAACAATAATATTTATGACATATTAATATTTTTTGATAGGAATAAGAATTTTGTCTCCCATGTCGGGCGCCACTTTTCTAAGGCACCCATTATTTATGTGCATATTATTGGACTGTGTAAAAGCAACTCCACCTTTCTTGAATCGCAACACCTCCACTGTACTTTCCTTCAACTTCTCCTTCATCCATGTAAGAACAACAAACCAAAGTCAGACACAATTTGCTTTTGGATCATGATGATGACGACGGTGATGATGCACACAGCGACATTATAAAGTGTCATCGACACCTTGTTGTCGCTCCATGGCAGGGCTGGATGGCTGACTTGGTTGCTTTAAATGTTCTTCCATATTAAAAAAAACAGAACTGACGAGGTAGAGGTGGTGGTGCTGAGGATGGTGAAGATGATGTGTTGTTGTCTTTCAAAAGCCAAAGATGACATGGAAAGCGTAAACTATTACCGCTTAAATAGGTGCTGCGGCAGGTTATTTTTAAATCACAAAAACAAGAAATGAGGAACATGTGTTTCCGAGGGATATGGAGAACAGGAAAAAAATCGAAATAAAATTTTTAAAATAAAAATTTCACAAATATTTAATTGTGTATATATTCGTATCTGTAAATATGTATTAGTGCCGGCATATGTCTGGGTAAAATTTATGACAAATGCATTTGGACTCGCCGCGACTCATTCACTCACTCGTCCATGACATTCAATTGTACACTTTGGACTACTGGCTGGTTGTCTGTCTCCATGGCACCCTAAAGGCATGGGACAAGGAGAAAAAATGGTAGGAGGGAGGTTGTATAATGAGATGGATAAGCCGAGGATTTGTTGTTGTCACACAACTTTGTATGCACAACTTGGTTTAGCACGGAAAGCTTAACATAAACCATAAAAATCCAATGACGTCTTGTTTTTGTTGGTGTACACTTGTTGTCGTTGTACATGGCGGCGGTGTCGGCCACAATGACGACAAGTGGCACACAGAAACAGAAAAAGAAGACAAAAAAGAAAGAAAATAACATTGCAAAAAACCACAATCATTTAAGGTCACTTCCGCTATAGACTTCGAAGAAAAACACATTAAATTCATTAGAAATAAAAATTAATTTCCCCCTTCTTTTTTCTTTGCAGCTTCCTCCACAGCCTTGGCTGTCAATCCACCCGATGCCGACCAAAAAGGACCCGTCTTCTTAAAGGAACCCACCAATCGCATTGACTTCTCCAACTCCACTGGCGCCGAAATTGAATGCAAAGCTAGCGGTAACCCAATGCCTGAAATTATCTGGATTCGTAGCGATGGCACCGCTGTGGGTGATGTACCCGGTTTGCGCCAAATCTCATCGGATGGCAAATTGGTATTCCCTCCATTCCGTGCTGAAGATTATCGCCAAGAAGTCCATGCCCAGGTGTATGCCTGTTTGGCTCGCAATCAATTTGGTTCGATTATATCGCGTGATGTACATGTTCGTGCCGGTAAGTTGGAAGTGTTCTAGAGAGAGAGAGAGAGTGATTTTTTTAAAGATTTACTTTGAGGGCAACAAATTGAAAAGAGATAAAAGAGGAAGAGAGAGTAAGAGAGTATAAAGGGATTTTATATATAAAAAATTACAAAATTAGTTATCGATAAATATATTTTCTATAGTAAAATTTATCAAAAAATATATATTCTATACAAAAATAAATCGATAACAATTTTTTTCTAAAGTTAATTTGATCTAAAGTTATATATGCTATAGAAAAATAAAACGGTAATTAATTTTTATAGAAACATGACAATCGATAACACTTTATTTTATAGAAAAATCAATCGATAACAAACATTTTCACTTAAATTTTTATCGATACATATGTTTTCCCATAAACTATTTTTCTAAAGAAGAAGTTATCGTTAGCAAGGTTATTCAATAAATATGTTATCGATAAGAAGTTATTCTAACGCAAACATTTAAAAACAGCAATAGTAAAATTAATCGACACAAAATTCTTGAACAAATAAATCGATAACAAGCTTTTCTAAATAAAAAATAATCGATAATCCTATAAAAATGTATCGATAGTAAATTTTTCTATTAACAAATTGCTCGATAATAATTTTTTCAATCGAATAAAATTACCGATAAGAAATTTTTCTATCGATGAAGTTATCGTTAGCAGTTTTTTAGTAAAAGTGTTATCGATGGTGTATTATTCGAATAATAAAGAGGTCGATTAGTAGTTTTTCTATTGAAAAAGTTATCGATAATAAGTTTTTGTAATGAAAAATTTATCGATAATAAGTTTTTCTAAAAAAGAAACGTTGTCGATAAAAATTTTTCTTTTCAAAAATTTATCGACATCGAGGTTTTCGAATGAATAAGTTAACGATAATAAGTTTTTCTACTGAACAAGTATTCAGTAATCCTATAGAAATTTATCGATAGCAAGTTTTTCTACTAAGAAATTGCTCGATAATAAGTTACTCTATCGAATACAATTGCCGATAAGAAATTTTTCTATCGATGAAGTTATCGTTAGCAGTTTTTAGTAAAAGTGTTATGGATAGTGTGTTCTTCGAAAAACATAGAGGTCGATTAGTAGTTTTTCTAATGAAAAATTTATCGATATTAAGTTTTTGTAATGAATAAATTACGATAATAAATTTTTTTTATCGATAATAAGTTTTTCTAATGAAAAAGTTGTCGATAATAAGTTTTTCTAATGAAAAAATTATCGATAATTATTTCTAATGAAAAAGTAATCGATAATAAGTTTTTCTAATGAAAAAGTTATCGATTATATATGTTTTCTGATGAGAAGATTTTCGATAACACATTTTCCTATTAAAAACTTGCCCGATAATATTTTTTTGTTGTCGATATTAATTTTTTCTATTAACAAAGTTATCGATAACTCATTTTTTATTGATAAATTGATCGATAATACAGTTTTCTATAGAACTAGTTATCGAATCCACGATTTTATATAGAAAAAAACTATTGATAACAAATTTACCTGAAGAAAATTGATCGATAACAAGTTTTTTTCTATAGAAAAATATCGATAAGTGATCGATAATAAGTTTTTTCTGATGGTAAAGTTATCGATTATTAGTTTTTCCACAGAGAAGATTTCCGATAATACATCTTTCTATTTAAAAATTGTCCAATAAAAAAAATTTCTATACAAAAAGTTATCGATAACTAATTTTTCTATTAACAATTTTTCGATAATACAGAAAAACGTATGGATTTTATATAAAAAAAAGCTATTTAATAAATACTTTCTCCATAGCAATCTTACTGAAAATATTTTTTCTGTAGAAAAAGTAATCGATAACAGGTTTTGCTGTAGAATAAGTTATCGATAACAAATTTTTCTATAGAAAAAATGATCGATATCATTTTTCTTAATTGAAAATGTTATCGATAACTATTTTTTGTTAAAAAGTTTTTGATGACAAGTTCATATGCGGAGAAATTAATAGTTGGAAAGTTTTTATGTAGAATAATTTATCGATTACAATTTTTTTTTCATTAGAAAAAACTTAAAAAATTATATCTCCCTCTCTTGCTCTCTCTCTCATTTTGTTGCCCTCAAAAAAACTCAATTTTCAGCTGCAAAATTTTTATTTGTTGAAAAGGGTTTTCAACTTCATCGTTGGTATTCAAAATGTTGTCTTCAGCGTTTTTCTCTTCGTCGTTTTGGTTTGTTGCACCCCCTGGCGATGGGGTGTGAACACACGTGTGTGGGTACTAAAGTTTTGCGAATTGATGTCAGGGCCTAAAAAATAAAACGCAGTGCTCCGAACATTAATTTAAAGATTCTCGGGGGAAATTCTTTAAAATATGTGTGTATGTGTGTGAGCATTTTAGAACATCTCCCTCTGCAGTAATTGTGTGAGAGAGTAAGTGTGTGTGTTTGTGTGTGAATTTGTGAGTTGGTTTAGACAAAAGAGGATACTGTTTTTAGTTATTTTGGCGCGTATATCCTTAACAATGATGATGATGATGATGACAACGACGACAACGTTGGCGAGATGATGCAACAATTTCGCACACATAAAACGCTTGGCAAAAACTTTTCTCCAAACAGGGCACACACTATTTAAAGGTATTTTAATTAAATTTTTCCCATGCTCTCACTTAGTAACAAACAGACAGACACACAGTCAGGCAGTCTGGGTGACAACGACTATTCTTCCTCTTCTTCTGCTCTTTTGTTCGAAATACACTCATGACAACAATTGCAATTGTAAAGATAAGCGAAAAATCATCGTTGACATATGTTTGTACACATGTACATCTGTCTGTATGTCGGTCTGTCGTGCACTTAAAGTTTAGTAAACATCAACAATAGTCCCAGCTATGCAAGCTTAGTTTTATGGTTTTTTGTAACCCTTTTGTTTTTAGTTGTTGTTATGTTTTGCTCGCTTTTGTTAGATATTAAAACCCCCCTCCGGCTCTGGCGTATAACAACCAGGGTTTTATGCGGAATAATATGGAAAGGATTATATTTGTCATAAACTTTGACATCAAGTGTTAGCCGTTATGATGAGCAGTCGTATTACATCGCAAGATTTGTGTAGTGAAATTTTTTGAGGAAAGACAGAACGAAATTTTTAATGTTGCGGAAAGGTCAGAGGTTATTGTCATAAAAAGAGAAATGTTAGGGAAATATGGGAGTAAAATTGAATATTATAAAAAAATTATATAATTTTAATTACAGAGAAATTATATTGCGAGGAATTTATATACAGGACAATGTGGAATTGAAACATACGACGTTTTATTTCTTCAATATAAAATCAAGTTAAAACATTTTTTTAAAGGGAAAACGCCAACAAAACCTTTGTGGAATTGAAACACTAGAAGTTTATTACATAATAATTAAGGAAAATTACGCAGTTATGTTGGATCTATCATATTAAAAATGTATTAAAATAGAAAGTTAGAAAAAAAGTTGGGACAAAATTGAAATGAAACAAAACAAAAAATTAGTGGAAAATCGTTCACATTGTAATAGAATGGCAGCAAATATTTTGTTAAAAGTACTAATTAAACTTTGAATAATTTATATTATATAAACAAAACTATTCGTTTTCATTATTTTCGACATTTTTAAGGAATGGAATGATGTGGAATTGAAACAAAAATGTCGCTATATACTATATTTCTTTGGGCATAGTTTTAGTTATGCAAAATTGTTTTAATTATGCATAGCTCACGAAATATAACAATTTTTCCACATGAAACGAAATGGATTTGAAACAAAAAATTCAAGATTTGTTAGTAAATTGATAGAAATATTGTGACATAAACAATAGTTGGACAAAATAAAAGTTTGTTTTACATAAAATTATTAAAATTTATAATCAAAATAGGCGGTTTCAGGTACTTGGAACTTGATGGAATTGAAACAAAAATGTGTTGATGATCTCAACTTCTCGATAAACAATATTCATAGAGTCCAAACCACAAGAATTAGTAATTTTAGAGTGTGAAACGAAATGGAATTGAAACAGAAAATATTGAAATTTCATAGAAAATTCATAAAAAACTAATTTGTATTAAAAATCAAAATTATTCATTTACATTATTATCAAAATTTTTGAAAAAATTGCAATTATGGCTGCAAAATGTGGGACACTTTAAATTAAAACATATTTAATTAAATAATTATTTTTTAAATATTTGTGTTTATTATGTTTTTCATTATTTTTTGCCGGAAGCCTTGAATTTGTATAATATCTCCCAACCTCTAAGACCTGTCTAGAGCATTTACATATAAAAAATAAAACAAGTGGGGTATTTTAAGAACAATTATGTAGCCATCAACACATTAAACCAGGCATAGCCTACTTAGATAATGACAATGTCTTTTTAGCATAATCATAAAAATAATTAATTAATCTAATTTGTGTTGAAAGCTCCCCCATCCCCTTAAAAAAAGCATAAACCACCTTCCCAGTCTTCTTGAAAATAATTATCATGAACTCGGCTTTAATCAAATAATTCTGACCGAAAAAACACTCCTCATTATCAATTGCCAAAAAATTGCTTATTAGCGTGGGGTATGAATGAGCATGTGTAGAGGGGGTACTCAACACCATGAGTATCTTACATTAAAAAAAAACCCTATTCTACAATAATGTTAATTAATCAAAGAAGTCAGCAAGTATTCGAAATAATACAACAAACCTCAAGTTGTTAAATACACCTTATTAATGGTTAAGAGGTGTGAGAATGTGAGACTCTACCCTCAAGCTTGATTTTTGTCAGCTGAAAATATTTTTTTTTGTTTTCGTAGACATGTTAAATTGTCATGTTTGAGGGCATGTTTAAATTACAAAAAAAAAATACTACCAAATACATTTTTTTATTACTTACGCCTAGACAAAACCAAGGAAGCTCTTTAGACACTCCCCTCTTTTTCTGTTTTGCCTCACCCCTCTAAGTGCATTTACACCACGCCAGAAAGTGATAAGTTTAATGTAT